AAATCTGCTGAAATCCCCCAAAAATCTCCCAAAAATCCCCAAAAAATCTCCCAAAAAATCCCCAAAAATCTCCTGAATTCCCGAAAAATCTCTCCAAAATTCCCAAAATTCTCCCAAAATCCCCAAAAATCTCCCCAAATCCCCAAAACTCCTCCCTGGGATCCCACCCCCGCGAGTCGGGACGGGGGATGGGAAATTTGGGAATTCCGCCCCAATTTTGGGGTGGGGCCGCCCCTCCCCCCCCTCCCCTCTGCCCCGAATTCCGAATTTTGGGCTCGGGGAGGGAATTTGGGGTTTTCCCCTCGGATTTTGGGAACGGGGCCGGAATTTTGGGATGGAAATTTTGGGGTTGGGAATTTTTTAGGGAGGGAATTTTGGAGAGGGAATTTTTGGGGAAGGAATTCTGGGGAGGGAATTTTGGGGTTCCCCCCACAGATTTTGGGAATGGTGGGAGGGGATTTTGGGGTTGGGTTGGAATTTTTAGGGAGGGAATTTTGGGGAGGGAATTTTGGGATTTCTTCCACAGATTTTAGGGTGGGGCCCGAAATTTTTGGGGAAGGAATTTTGGGGCCTGGAATTTTCAGGGAGGGAATTTTGGGAGGGGGGAGGAAATCTTGGGGTTCCTCCACCGAATTTGGGGAGGGAATTTTGGGGTTGGGGCTTGGAATTTTGGGGTGGGAATTTTGGGGTTCCTCCACCACCGATTTCGGGGTGCGAGAGGGGATTTTGGGGAGGGAATTTTGGGGTTGGGGGCCTGGAATTTTGGGGTGGGAATTCTGGGGTTGGGGACCGAAATTTCTGGGGAGGGAATTTTGGGGTAAGGGAGGGGATTTTGGGGTTCCCCCACAGATTTTGGGGTGGGAGAGGCGATTTTGGGGAGGGAATTTTGGGGTTCCTCCACAGATTTTGGGGAGGGAATTTTGGGGTTCCCCCACCTCAAATTTTGGGGTGGGGGGAGGGGATTTTGGGGAGGGAATTTTGGGGCTGGGACCAAAATTTCTGGGGAGGGAATTTTGGGGTGGGGGCCTGGAATTTTGGGGTGGGAATTTTGGGGTGAGGGAGGTGATTTTGGGGTGGGGGACCGAAATTTCTGGGGTGGGAATTTTTGGGTTGGGGCCTGGAATTTCGGGGAGGGAATTTTTGGGTTGGGGCTGGGAATTTTGGGGAGGGAATTTTGGGGTGAGGGAGGGGGTTTCGGGGTGGGAATTTTGGGGTTGGGGACCGAAATTTCTGGGGAGGGAATTTTGGAGTTCCCCCACAGATTTTGGGGTGGGGAAGGTGATTTGGGGAGGGAATTTTGGGGTTGGGGCCTGGAATTTTGGGGAGGGAATTTTGGGGTGAGGGAGGGAATTTTGGGGAGGGAATTTTGGGGTGGGAATTTTTGGGTTGGGGCCGGGAATTTTGGGGAGGGAATTTTGGGGAGGGAATTTTGGGGTGGGGGAGGGAATTTTGGGGAGGGAATTTTGGGGTGGGGGAGGAGGTTTCGGGGAGGGAATTTTGGGGTGAGGGAGGGGATTTCGGGGTGAGTATTTTTGGGTTGGGGCCTGGAATTTTGGGGTGGGAATTTTTGGGTTGGGGCCTGGAATTTTGGGGTGGGAATTTTTGGGTTGGGGCCTGGAATTTTGGGGAGGGAATTTTTGGGTTGGGGCCGGGAATTTTGGGGAGGGAATTTTGGGTTGGGGCCTGGAATTTTGGGGAGGGAATTTTGGG